CGTGCACTATGTTACTTCACACAGGGTACGTGCACTATGTTACTTCAACTTACAGATGTTGGTTCTGTTTCCAGATGTAGGAGCCATATAAATAGTTGAAACTTAATACAAATGTTATTTTTGTTGCTTGAGTTGATTCTGCGTGATATGGTTGTGGTTCTGCTGTTTAAAGAAAATAAGCATTTGTATTTGTATACTGTTTAAGCTTTTTACGTGATGCCTTTTGATTGGCTGTTGACTAATGGGTTTAAAGAGGATGAAAGCATTTGTTTTTTGTAGAAGTATGGCACCCCACGAGTAACACAATCCTTTAACCGTCACTTTCAATTGTTTTGAATCTGTATGCTTTTTTTTTGTGTATCTCTTTTTATGACGTTCAGTAAAGACACAAACATAATCGCTGGATTCAAGACCCCTTTTTTGAAGAAAAATGTCGCCTACGAAAGAGCTTTAAGGGGCTAGACTAGAGAGAGCTTGCATCACTTACACCAGATGTACAGACAATGATTACTTTCTGAAATATTTATTAAAATCTATGCAGTGGTTCAGGAGATATTTAGCTAACAACAGACTGAGATGGCTAATGGTAAGCTTTTAAAAACAGAGCTCTCACCTACAGTTAGTGCAAAGTTTACAGTAAGTTGTGGATGACGCTCAGCTACTGATGCACCACATCATAGCTTAATATCTGTTAAAGTATAGTCATGAGTGTATTTGTTACGGTTGCTTTGCTGTGGCGGCCATCTTAAATTGGACTGACACAGAAAATGAATAATTGTAGATCTAATAATGTTAAGTCGGGTCCTCTGGACAAATTCTTCATTGTTGACATGTTTTGTTCTTCAGTCTGAGGAGCTGCAACAAACAGTCTTAATTGTAGCTAGATCCAATTATTATAGCCTGAGAGTTTCTTTAAAATTATCTGGTGGTTTATGAGATATTTTGCTAAATGACTGACTGACAAACACACACAAACATGGGAAAGAAAAACATATTTTTGCTGTTTTATTCCAGGCAGCAGGGGTTAAATGAATATCTTTAAAATACATGCTGTCTTTTGAATATGTTTATTTGTTACTAAGCTTTGGCCTTGCTAAAAATAGGATCTGCTCCTATATCACCACCAAAGGGAGGGGCTGTTAGTGAGTGTCTGATCAGTCAGCAGGCGAGAGGTGGGGTACATCCTGAGCTATAGAGTTAACTCTGACACACACATGACTTATGGTCACACTCACACCTAAGATCATATTACAATCAGCCGTTAACCTAGCATGCATGTTTTTGGTCTGTGGGAGGAAACCGGAGATCCGTAGGAAACCTGCTTATGCAAATGGAGAATATACAAACTCCACACCGAAATGTCCCGGCCAAGACTGATGTGCCGACCACTACGTTACCCTGCAGCCATCTCATGTGACTTTGATCTTCCATCATCTTGGATCAGGTCTAACCATTTCGTACATGGACAAGCTCATTTAAACAAGTGGCAGCTTTGAGGAGAGGACAGCTCAATTCTTTGTCAGAAAATAATAGAAAATATCACTTCTGACTGTTCTATCTAAGGGGCATAAAAAATAACACGTACAAAATT